CATAGTAAATATGTCCATGTCCCTTTAATTTGATGAACTGTGTGATTATGCCATGTTTAAACAGAGAGGCTGACCCCTTTGCTACTTGGTGGTACATCACCACAAATGGCATCTTGCTAAAAAGAAAACTTTTTAAGTTTTCAGGAAAGAATATTTTTATTTTCTTACCCCACACACAGTGACCAAAATGAAAAATGAGGTTTACTGTTTTTAGCCTTGGTACATGATGATATTAAACAGACTGTGTGCTTATCATAATAAACATTTGTTTAGAGACTGTTAATATGGTAGCTGATATTTGGAAGTTTGTGTTGGGAGTTTTAGCCTCATCTTTTTTCTTTAACTTTTTGATTATAGTAACAACTCATGTTTATTTTAGAAAATTTTAAACCTGGATAAACCGAAGGAAAATTTAAGTCATCTATAAGTCTATCACCTGTTAACATTTTGCATTATCTTTCCAGCACTTATGTTTACACATGCAACTTTTAAAAAATAGGATAGATAGGGTCGTACACATGTCATTGTTTTGTACTCATGACTATATCATGAACCTCCTGTCACTCCCCACTAAACATTGTAAAGAAGTATTTCAGTATTTCATTGTATACATCCCCCACAGTTTATTTAAGCAATCCTCTATTGTCGGACACTTGATTATTTCCAGGTTTTCACTGTTATTAACAGTGTCATAGGCTCAGAGCTAAATCTTTGTTCACATTCTTAAAGTGCTTGTAAAATATAAGAAATATATTTTACAGTAGTCCTAGAAAGCAGCTTGATGATTTTGGTTTTGTTTTTGTAGTCAATTTCATATGTGAAAACATAGTATCTCCTTTTCTGATTTGAGTTTCTTTGCTCACCAGTAAGGTTAAACACTTTCTCCTTTCAGTGTTAAAGTATAAAGGGATTATTTTCTTCTGACACAGAAGGTCTGAAGGATTTCTTAAAATTAAATAATTAAGTTTCACTGTTATGATACTATGTGACCTTCTTGTAATTTCTTATGACTTTTACTCTAAGGAGTTTAGGAGTTCAGATATAACAATAACAACATTGTGTTGTGAAGGAAAGAACTAGATTGGCAATTGTTTCTTATGGGAGACCTAACAGAAAAACTGTAGAAAGCAGAGGTTGTGAGACACAGGGCTTTTTAATCTTCCTCTCCAGGCTTAAAAAAAAAAACAAAAATAGACTCCTATTTCTGGGATGTTTTGCATGCAGTCTGTATTAAGCAGAGGGACGTACAGAATGACCTTTCAAGATATTTTAAATTTGAGCCTATAATTAGAAAACGCTATTTGAGTTCTTGTAATATGATTTTACTCTTAAAGCAGCCATCTGAATTAGTGGGTCATCCCTCCCCACTTGTCTCCCTCCCTCCCTCTCTCGTTCATATCTGCATATGTACATCCAAGGACCCCGCTTCTGAAAATCTCCAAGGTATCAAATGTGGGGGTTTTATAATATTAAAGTGCTTTCCTTTTTTCCCCCCTTTGAGGGAAACTTCAGTGGCCTCCTTATCTTACTTACGAGGAGCTTACATGGGCCTCTTGAGGAACACAGCTGGCTATCCTGTAAAGAGGGATGTAGTCAGTGAACAAGTAACTGTCAACTGTGTGCCAGGGAGACAGCAGAAAACCTGACAGATGAGGTCCTTTCCCACACGGAGTTTACAGTCTGACAGAAAAGAGACGAGTAAATCGGTACCAATAATTGATTACATAAGTACAATTAGCAAACTCTTATGATGGAGGAGAAGTATCGAGTAATGTGCAGCAGGTGAGGGGGTCCTGGTGCAGTCTGGAAGAGTCAAGAAAGGCTTCTCTAAGAAGTGGTGTTTGTCCAAGGATTACACACGCCATCCCTCCTTCCTTGCAGCATGCTACATTTAGTGCCTGTGAACTGCAAGGGAATTAATCTATTTCTGCTTTCTTTTGGGGGCTTTAGCAATACCCCACAAGTATTAGAATGAAAATGCATTGCTGTAGTTGATTTACAACTTTAGGATGAACACTATTTCATCTGAAGAAAAATTCTTAAATAATTAGCCTCAAGAACGAAAGACTTTGCCTGATGGAATGAAGAAGATGGGCGAATCACTGGGGCATCAGCTTATTCACAAGACTCGTGGAATAGCCGTGGAAGTTCACCTGTGTCATGTCATACATGTCCGGTACGGGAATATCTAAGGAACAGGGCTCCTTTTCTAGCTAATTGGCTCTCTAATAACTAGTCTTTAAAAATAAAAATTCATCTACTTTCCAACTTAGAGTAAAATGTGCCTTAGCCACAATAGCTTTTGTGATTTGGAAAAGCTCCACGTTTAACTATTAGGTAGAGCCTGAGATGACTATGACAACGAGGAATATTCTTCTAAGTTGTTTAATCCCCTGAGATGATTATGGCTGTTCTTTTGCCAGACTATGACTCTCAAGTCCATTAGACTTAAAAACAGATGCTTCTGGGGGAAGTCGCTTTTCGACGCATCGGGTTCCTTAGTGTTTTTATGTGGCTGTATTTTGGCCATCTCCTAATGTTAGAGAATTTGTTCCCCAAGTCTGGTGCTGTCTCCTCCTCAGCTCTTGTCGGAAGCATGGCTGAGGACATGGAAGTCCACTTGTGTCCCTGAAAGGAGGCAGAGCATCAGAGCTGCTTGTTTCTATGGCGTTGCCTTGGCTTCCTGCCAGAGACTCTGTAGAGACTTGTGCTTTGGAATTTATTGAAGGACACAGTGAAAACTGTCACATGACATCACACGGTGGTCTGCCTGGTCTGCGCTATTGCTCATGGCCTCTTGTGCACACACCTACAGTGAGCATATCACAGCTAAGTGTCAAGAAAAGCTTTTTTTCCCCTGGGGTACAAAACATGGTTCCCCATTCCCCCTCTTCCCAGGACATACAAACATGGAGATACACACACTCTCTCTCTGTGGAAAATTGTGCAAGATTACTGTAACCCAGGGGAAAGGCGAGAGGGGCTGGAAGCAGGGTCAGGTTAGTGGGGATGTCGGTGAGGTCAAGACAGAAGGTCAGAGCTGAAGTAATGTTCCAAGTGAAACGAGAAAAACATCCTCCAAGGGTGTGGTGGTCTTTCCAGAGGGGTAAACAAAAAAACATCCCACCGAGAGTATTGTAGAGCCTGTGGAATGTAAAACTGAGTTGCTTACCTCTTACTATGGGCCTTACTAGAACATAGCATTTTTGACCAATGGAAGTTTATTTCATCTCTATACAGCATTTCAGGTGCACTTTCGGTCTTTTATTTTCATAACAGCTTTATTGAGATAGAATTCACATCCCATAACATTCACCCTTTTAACGAGTATAATTCAGTGGTTTTAGTATATTCACTGAGTTGTGCAACTATCACCACTATCTAGTTTTAGAACATTTATAACACCCCCCAAAAGAAACCCCATACCATTAGCACTCACTGCCCTTTCGCCTCTCCCCCAGCCCCTGGCACCCACTAATCTACTTTCTATCTCTGGATTTGCCTATTCTACACATTTCATATAAATGGAACCATACAATGTGTGCTGTTTCATAACTGGCTTCTTGCATTCAGCATAATGTTTTCAGGGTTCATCCATGTTGTAGCCTGTATCACTACTTCATTCCTTTGTATTGCCAGACAATATTATATGGTATGGATACACCACATGTCATTTATCCGTTCATCAGCTGATGGACATTTGGATTGTCTCCACTTTGGGGCTATTATGAGTAATGCTCCTGTGAACATTCTTGTACAAATTTTTGTGTGGACTAGTGTTTTCATTTTTCTTGGGTGTATACCTAGGACTGACACATTCATTCTTGAGTCTCTTGCAACAGTTGAATATTTTTGGTGAAAGTGGGATCTCAATTGAAAATCAGTTTCTGGTTGTAGATGACTATATATATATCCTGTAATTGTTAACAAACATAGATTTTAATGAAATTTGCTAGGCAGTTAAAAGATACATACATCAACTACTAAGTTGTGTGTGTGTTGTGTGTGTACCAAGTGCAGTTTGGTGGTTGATCTCAGGCCATTCTCTTAGGATACTCATATTGTGGTTCTATCATCTGTAGACCTCTGGACAGTAGCATATATTTTACTTCCACCCACAAACCAAATTTCAGCTGCTTAAAATCCATTAAAAGAGGGGAGGATGAATATGTGGAGCACAGAGGATTTTTAGGACAATGAAACTACTCTGTATGATACTATAATGGTAGGTACACATCATTATAAATTTGTCCAAACTCATAGAATGTACAACAAGAGTGAACCCTAATGTAAAGTATGATACTGGGAGACAATGATGTGTCAGTGTAGGTTCATCAGTTGTAACAAATATACCGCTCTGTGGGCGATGTTGATGATAGAGGAAGCTGTGCGTGTGTGGGGGCAGGAGAAATATGGTCAATCTCTGTACTTTCCGCTTTATTTCACTGTGAATCTGAAACGACTCTAAAAAATGAAGTCTATTAAGACAATCCATTGAAAGACCACAGCAGCTGTATGTATTTCAAAGGGAATCTTCTGCCATTTTGTCTGAAGGTGGCAGATTGTACACTGCACAACAACGTGAGTTTCCATGACACTTTGCCCTGTGTGGAGGCTGTCCCTCTGCCTGGCCTGCAAAGCCCTCAGAGGACTGGTCTCTCCCCCGCTCTGCTCTTCTCTACTCCTCCATCAAAATGCTTCAGCAATACTTGCCTTTCCGTTCTTAAAACCTACCTGGCTCATTCCTGCCTCAGGGCCTTTGAACCAGCTGCTCCCTATGACTGGATGGAGTGCTGCCCTGCCATCACTATTAAGTCTTAAGTCATCCCCTCAGAGAGACTCCCTGACCTCTTGCTCTAAATCAGCCACACCAGCCTTGCCCTGATTCCGACTGACTGCTCTGAGTGGCGTCTGTCAGTCTCCTTGTTTATCTGCGTGTTTGTTCCCATGTTAGAATGAGCATCACGGGGGAAAGGAATCTGCGTCCTGCACCGCTCCACTTCTGAACAGCGCCTGCCAGGTGTTAAGTAGGTGTCAGTAGGGTGAATGGCCGAGTTGCTTTCCTCCTCCTGAGGTGCTGGTACCTGTTAGAGCCAGTGTTTTTCTGGGGGACAGTAACCAGTAACCCCCAGAAAGCCAACAGAACAAAACTGCAAAGCATCATTTTAATTTAACTTCTTGCTTTTTCCCTCTTTTAGAGCGATCATCCTCTTCCCCATCCGACTCTTCGCAGAAAGGAGCTGCCACGAGACTGGGGTGTTGACTGTGCAAGGCGCAAGGTGGGGTCCGCTGTGCCGCCATCTGCAGACAGTAGGGTGGTGCTTCCTGGTGTACAGCTGAGGCGTCCTCTGCGCCCGCTGACGGTTCGCTGCCTGCCGGCCGTCCTGCGGCTGCTCTGCTGCCTCCTCTTCTCCAGTGAAGACATTTTGTAAATGCCTGAGCACCGAACGTTTCTGTTTTATCTTCAGGAGAGTCTTAGAGTTCAAGCTGTTCCAGGTGAGTGGATGTTTCCTCACTCATTGGATCGTTGTCTTAAATGACAGCAAGCGAAGTAGGGGTCACATCAAAAGTCCCTGACCTCTTTGCATTCCTGCCCGAAGACGGCACCCAGTGACTGCCTCATCCCGGCTTAGGGAACTTCAGTCAGCCGTGCACCTGTTCAGCCATGTGACTGACATCAGTACAGCACAGTTCTTCTGTTTTTACAGTTATTGAAACCCGGGGTAAGGGCGTGGTGGTTATACCCAGCCCGTGCCCTCTGAGGAGGAAGGAAGATTCGCCTCTGCGATTCACATTGTGCACCTCAATTCACTGTCTGTGCTAACTGGAATTTAATTTCAGGGGTAATCTCATTCTTGAAAGTAAATCTAGCAATTGCATTTCTAATGCAAAAGGTGTTTTCTTTCTTCTCTACAGCTGTGGGAACCTTATGACTGGGGCTCATGTGACTCTTATGATAACCGTTCTTTTTCATCATTACTCGTGTGGTGTTTGCCTCAAAACACTTCAGCCCTGAGATAGACCCCAGGGCCATGTAATCCCAAGTTAATTAAAAATAAATTTTTGTGAATATTTGAGAGTCATTGTTCAGCACCGCCTTCTTTATGCTTATTTGTTTGTCTTCTGTAAAATTCAAAAGAATTCTAGGAATGTGGCTAGGATTAGAATGCCTATATTGGGGTGATACTAGGAATGACAGCTATTTCTAAATATTTGACCCCAGTGATATCTCTCCCTTTGTCTGGTAGTGTCTGTCATTGGAGCTGGGTGAAGAGAAGAATTCATTTATTCATCAAATACTTACCGAACGATTTCTGTGTGCCAGGCCCTCTTTTCAGTGTTGCAGGTGAGGCTGTGAGCAAAACAAAGTCCCTGCTTTCATGGAGCTCTTAAAAAGCTCCCGAATATCCTCAGCAGACGGATGGGAGAAGGGAGGCACAGAGCCCCTGACACCGCAGGTGTCCTGGGCAAGCCCCTCAAGATGGCAGACAGACACCAGATGACAAGGAGAGAGTTGGAACCTGATTTGGAAAATAGGATAAAGCAGTCTTATGCTCTAGTGTAATCACTGCAAAAATACAGAAGCTTATTAAGACAACAAACAAAAAAATGCCAGGCTAATGTAACTTGGGCTTAGAAGAGAGAGAAGGATTACTTTCCAAGTATACCATTTTTATACAATTTTTTCAGGTTCACAGATTTTGCCTAAATTCTGCCTCTACCGTCCCCTTCCAGCCTCTGTGGTCAGTGTCTAATGCATCCTTGCAGAGTTTCTCTGTGCATGAACAAACAAATATGAATATGAATTCAAATGTGAATATGAAGTCATATCTGCCCCCTTCATAAAGTAAAAGATGGAAACTAACTTCTCTGCAATGTATGTTTTTCCCCTAATATGTGTAGGAGGGTTTAGCACATCAGGACGAAGAACACGTCCTCATTCTTCTTTTTCTCGGCAGTTACAGAGTAGTCCGTTGTATGGATGTATCACAATTTAAATAGTGACCTATTGATAGACATTTGGGTTGTGGCCAATCCTTTGCCCTTAAACAATGCTGCAATAAATAACTTTGTACACAGGTTATTCTGCATGTGTGCAATTATAACTGTGCAGATGTGAAAAGGAGAATTGCAGGTCACAGAGTGTGTGTATGATTTTGATAGATATTGTCAAATCACCTCCCAGAAGGCATTTTTCTTCTTCTTACCCCTGATAGAAACCTGTGAGAGTAACTGTTACCAGGGTCTGGATTTTTTGCCAATCTGGTAGATTAAATAGTTTCTTAAAGTGATTTCAATTTAAGAGTACTATTTCTTCAGAATTTTCAGTGGTATTTTTTTAAAAGGAAAAAAAAGCTCAGAAAAGTAAACAGGATGAGGATTCAGCTCTTTTTATTGTACAGAAGGACCACTGAAGGCCATCTTAGATCTTCTATTATATAAATTCAGACAATGTTTGCCCATGTTAAAAATGCTACATTTTATTTATTTATTTATTTTTTTGAGGAAGATTGGCCCTGAGCTAACATTTGTTGCCAATCTTCCTTTTTTTCTTTTTTCTCCCCAAAGCCCCAGTACATAGTTGTATATCCTAGTTGTAGGTCCTTCTAGTTGCTCTATGTGGGACGCCACCTCAGCATGGCTTGCTGAGTGGTGAGCAGGTCTGCGCCCGGGATCTGAACCAGTGAACCCTGGGCTGCTGAAGCGGAACATGCAAACTTAACCACTCCGCCACTGGGCTGGCCCCAAAATGCTACATTTTCAATACTGAAAACATACAGGATGAAAGTGCTTCTCAGGCTCATGGGGCACCTACATGACATGCTAAGAAGAGTAAGACCTTTCTCCTGTAGTTTGGTCCTATATTATAGCTAATTGAAATAGGAGAATGTACGAAAATCAGTTATCACCACAGGCCTGAGACTGCTGTCCTTCGAAAGGCCTGCTGGCAAGGTTGGCCCTTGGCTGGCATCTGGGAACTTAGATTTGGGGAGGGTTCCCACCGTTCCCTAATAATGGCTCACTGTGCCCAAACCATTTGTGCAGACAGTATGGTTTACATTGAACACCTGCTTACGTTGCAGGAGTATGGAATTTGGGAACATGCCTGGCAGAAAGTGCCTGTGTGACCAGCCCCAATAAAAACCCCAGACACTGAGTCACTAAGGAGCTTCCCTGGTAGATAGCATTTCACAGGTGTAGTCACAGCTCATTGTGGGCAATTAAGCGTGACCTGTGTGACTCCACTGGGAGAGGACTCTGGAAGCTTGAGCCTGGTTTCCTCCAGACTTTGCTCCCTGTGCCTTTTCCCTTAGTTGACTTTGCTTTGTATCCTTTTCCTGTAATACATCTTAGCCATGAGTTTGACTACATGCTAGATTCTGAGTCCTCCTAGTGAATCATCAAACTGCAAGTGGTCTTGGCAACCCTGACTCAATCAGCTTTGCAAAGATTTAAATATTCTATCTGTCCGCAGTATTAGTGGCGAGTGACACAAATATTTTTAGCATGCAATTAATTGACTTTTGGCATTATATCTTGACTTGTAGTCTGTATTCTATAGTAAAATGTATAATCCCTCAGATTTCTGAACAGTGATTCAGCACTTACATCTAAAATAGAGGCAACAAGAAGAATGCAGGTATTGAATGGTTTTGTGTTTAGCGGTGAATCCACAGGTTCTTTGATCTTCCCAATGTGTGTATTCAGGCTTAAAAGCTTCTTGCTTTAATTTTCTGTAATTTGATTATTAGATAAATGGATTTACTCAAATTCCTTTGGATTCATAGCCACAGAGTTTCAGTTGGGCAGTCTGATTTCTAAGTGTGCCCTGATTCTGAAGATTATCTGCAAATGAAGAGTCCTAGAAAACTCAGTCAGGACAGCAGACCTTTGTTCACATAGGACGTGAGCCTCAAAAATTTTGAAATAAAGCTTTATTTTTGTATAATTGTGTGTTAGCATCTCATTTAAAAGTCTTAAATATTCAAATAGAAAACTGATAAAAGTATTAAACATACAGATTTATTTGTTTAAGCTGCTTTTCCTAAAGAAATTAGATGGTGTCTAAAGAGAAGAGTTTATATGGTTTAAAACGTTAAATGTAGTCCAGAGCACTGGTTCTTGATGCTCACAGTTGACTGGTATATGTATATATCTATTTTTTTCTTTTTTGCTGAAGATTTGCCCTGAGCTAACATCGGTTGCCAATCTTCTTCTTTTTGCATGTGAGCTGCCGCCACAGCATGGCCCCTGACAGATGAGTGGTGTAGGTCCAAGCCCAGGAACTGAACCCAGGCTGCCAAAGCAGAGTGCACCGAACTTAACCACTAGGCCACTGGGGCTGGCCCTGACTGGTATATTTTTGATGATAATAACTAAGATTGACTGACACTGTGACAGCCATTGTTCTAAGTGTTTTACATATAGTACCTCATTTAATTGTCATAGCAACCTTGTGAGGTAGCTGCTATTAACTCCACTTTGAGACATAGAGGGTTTGAGTGACTTTCCCAAAGTTAAGTGATTTGCTAGAACGTGGTAGAACTAGAATCTTAATTCAGGTCCTCTCCTTCCTGGGCTGAGTTCTTAGCCAGTCTGCTTTCCTGGGTCACATGGTAACATCTCACTGCAGAAAGTGCTGCGGAAAGTTGGTTGAATGAAGAACCTTAGGGCCAGCCCGGTGGCATGGCGGTTAAGTGAGTGCGCTCCGCTGTCTCGGCCCAGTGTTCGAAGGTTCTGATCCCGGGCGCGCACTGACACATCACTTGTCAAGCCATGCTGTGGCGGCGTCCCATATAAAGTAGAGGAAGATGGGCACAGATGTTAGCCCAGGGACAATCTTCCTCGGCAAAAAGAGGAGGATTGGCATCAGGTGTTAGCTCAGGGCTGATCTTCCTCACACACACAAAAAAAGAACCTTATACATTTATCCTTGGGTATAGGGGTGATCTGATCGTTTTCCGCTGAGTGTAAGAAATGTTCATCTCCTTGGTTTCTAAGTGTCAGGAATCATAAGTGGGATCCTACAAAACAGAAAACTGAGTACGTCACTCCCTGATCCCATTATCCTGGGAGCAAGATCAAAATATCATAACAAGGCCCTACCAGGCTCTTCAAGAGCCAACCTTTTCCCACTTCAACCAGGCTGACTTCCCCTCTGTTCCCATACATACAAACTACATTCTTCTTTGTTCCTTAAGGTCTTTGCACATACTGTTCCTTCTGCCTTAAATAACCCCACCCCAACTTGCCCAACTCCTCTTCATCCTTCAGATCTGAGTTGAAAGGCCCTTTCTTCCAGGAAACCTTCCCTGACCTTCCCAGGATGTACCTTGGCAATGTGTTCCTATAGTGTCTTGAACTTTTAATTATCCAAACATTTTTCTCCTTGTGGTACAGTTCTTTCCCCAGTTGGCCTTCAAGCTCTGTGAGGGCAGGGACAGATCTGTCTGGTTCACCTGGCCACAACAGACCTTCACATATCTAAAGGAAGGTTAAATAAGGTTTCAAAAGATGAGACAGAATCAGTGGTAATTCAGCAGAGTACGCAAATGCAAGAAACTGTGCTGTTATAGATGAGGCTCTACTCCCATTTAATTAGCAGAAATCTTTAGTTGTAGCATGAGAACGAATATTCTTCTTTTGTTACTGAAACTGACATCAAGCAGGTAGTCGGCAACAAACTCACGAACTTAAATTCTAAGCTTTCTGCTGGCACTTTCATTTCCTACGACTACTCCATTTAGAAAATCTGAAGAAGGCAGCTTTCTGTCCCCAGTTGTGTGCACGAGCCCAAACATTTTATCGAGCTGCAGTAGATCCACTTACCAGCTTGAACCACAAATTGGGAGAACCTACCTTAGACATGGTTAAGGATTTTAAAATACTTTGGAGAGCAATTCACCCCCATGTTGCTTGCCAATAGTAATTGTAAACCACAATAAGCCAGTTCTATTAAATGAGTGCCCTTTTCTTAAAGTTCTTACTAAGTTTGGTGAATTTTAAGAATTTTTTAGACCTGGAAAGATTTTTTTCCCCTAAAAGATGCCTTTCAAAAAGAAAATATTTTGGAGAAGATAAAGTTTTAACATATGTTTAAGATGAAAATCTTTGCTAAGTAAACTTATATACATATCGCTTTTATAGCTATCAAAGACGAAGTAAAATTTATATCATCTATTAGACTTTTAATACTTATAAATATCAGGCATACTGGAACCCCTATTTTAGGATGAATATTATTTGATGAGGGGAAGAAAAAAGAAAACTTTCTAAATTACTACTTTGTATCTTTCAGTCTGTAAGCATTAAATATATTTAGGATTCCGGACTTTTCCTCGAAGATGAGAGGTGATGTTTAGGCATACCCATAGGTCTTACTTTCTGGGTCTTCAGCAGACATGGCTGGAAAGGAAGACAGACAACCTCAGTGTCCGGTATGTGTATATGTATGTGTTTGCCTTTGTGTAAACCACTTTTCTTCCTTATTTAATATGCATTCATATGCATTAACATTTAATGCATAGAAATGGCTAGGAAAAATAGTGGAACCACACAATATTAGGGAATAGCAGTAAGTGGTGGAGACTTTATATGAAACACAAGCCCGGAGTGTTTGATTCTAGATTTTTGGCTTCTAGAGTGCCCTAGGCGTGCTAACTGAAGTCTGAAGTTAAAGGTCAGCGAGGTAACCTTAGGCTGACTCCAATATCTATTTATATTCATTATGGTATTTGAGGCTAAACGCCCTCAATTCTGAAGCTGCTTATATGTGGTCATCAATTCCTTCTTGTTATCAAAAAACAAAAAAAAAGAGACAGGTATGTGTATAACAGTTTATCTGGCCTGGAATGTAGCCTACCAAATGAGTCAACCTTCAGGTTGCCTGAAAAAAATTCTTTCTGGATTACAAGGTCTGAGTTAGTGACTCAGTGCTGATTAGGAATACGTTATATTAACTGTGAATGCATGAGAGAAGTTACTTCTATGACACCATATAATTCCCTTTTATATGAAGAATCCTGTAGTTGCCTTTTGTCTTAAAGTTTTTCTTCAGAACTCAATAGGAAAAATAACATAGCATATATTTTAGTGACAAGAGATCTGTTGATTCTATGCACAGCTTAGTGCCTTTTGAATTCCCCTGATTGAAAAGAATTGAAGGAGCCTCTACAAACAGTGACGTAGGAGAGAACAGCGTCAAGGTTAGGCATGAAATCCACAGTCTAGTGCTGGGAGGAAGTGGTGCTGAGTAAATATCAGCCCTGCATCTGACTGTACCTGGGCTGAGTCACCTTCCTCCTCCAAACACAAACAGGTTTCTAGGCAACAGGAGTGATTCACACTCCAAACACCTCACGGCAGTGAAATGTCCATCCACGGTATTTCCAGGAAATGTCCCTCTTAGAAGTCACTGGGGAGCAGGATAAACACTTACACAGGCACTGAGGGCATCGGATGACCCAGAGCTGGTAGCTGTGTGTTAGAGGGTGGGGCTGGCCAATATTTGGAAGGAAGTCACCTCACAGGGCAAACACAGACTGTTACCTGCATAGTGACTGTGGGGGGAAAGGAAGGAGAGTGGAATCTCTCCCCAGAAGGATTCACAGGGAAGGGAAATCCGTTGCTCTTAGGAAAAAAAATTAGCACATTCCTAATTGTAAACATAAACCAACATCTTGGAAAGTCACAACACAGCAGAGTGGCTAAGAGCATGAACTTAGGATCCAGATTGACTGGGTTCAAGTCCCACCTCTGCCCACTTGCTGGATTCTAGGTTTCACTTCCTCATGCCTCAGGTGGTGGTGATCTTGGTACCTACCCCATATTGTGGTTGTGCATATTAACCAGTTAATACTTGGGAAGCACCAGTGTCTTATCATAAGCTGTGGGGAAGTGTTATCATGCCCTCCACCATCCAGACAACCCCCTAAGAGGTGGGAGCAGATTTGTGAAGGAGTGAAGGAAAACCCAAAGATGGGTGAGAACTTTTCAAGGATTTATCTATTCTTTTATGATTTTGAGAACTGCAGTTATAGAAATTATAGTATCATCTAAGAAACCTCTCCAACGGTTTTCAGCATTATGTACCTTGAAAATTATTAATATATTGAAAAATGACATCAGGATTATGCAGGGGGTGGGGGGTGCAATCTCGGAGAGTTGTTTGGGGGCTTCCAAGGTACCTGTAACATTCTGAAGCTAGATGTGGGTTTTTGCTTTGCTATTTTTTATACCTTATGTTGTGTCCCCTTTTTTATATAACATATGTTATAATAAAAAATGCAGTCACACAAAGGAAACTACCATAAATTGGATGAAATTTGGGGGCCTTTGGAAATTCTTTTGGGCACATATGGAAATCATAATTATGCAGACACATTACTGACTCATTGAGAAAAAGAAAGGTACCTGAGGTTCTTTGGAGAAGGGTAAGCTAGATCTGGTGTCTCTGTGGGGGCGGATACATTCATTCACAGCTGTTCGACGCCTCTGGATGCCAGGCGCTTGGCTGGTGCTCAGTGACGTGATGTGGACTGCCCTTGTACCTCCTAACCTGGCAGCAGACATGGCCCGTGTAGGCTGCAGAACCAGGTACCGGACTGAAGAAATGGGGGGAGCATAGGTGTGGGGAGAAAGCCATGGCAGGATCCCAATCTGATCTTTTTAGGGTTCTGACTTCCCTTGAGTTTATTTTTGGAGGGAAAGCAGAATGTCAGTGGTTGTGTTGAGTGTCTGTCGGTGCACGTGGGCTAGTGGTGGAGCAGTGCCTGGATGATGCTCTACAGTGGTCCAGCAGCGCTGTGAGCACTTGTGAGATTAGCAGCCTCTCTTCCTCCTGAACTCGCACGGAGTCTCGCTGGCTCTGTCAGGTGCGGGTATTTCCCAAGGAAGGATCCTCTAAGAAGTCGAGGAAGAAGGGGATTGGGGAGGGGTTCTCAGGGTTATCTCAGTAACTGTAGAGGTTTCTTTATTACCAACGTAACAGCCTATGACTTAAGGTTAACTTTTGGATTTCTGTTAAAAGTCAGAGAATAACCCATTTAACTCTCAAATTTTCTGACTTTCCTTGAAGCCACAATACATAGTGCTTCACTGAGTTGAGCACTGAAGGTAGAATCGTGTTTTATATGCAGTCTTATACCTTGGATGACTTTCTGCCAGTGTAGACTGTTGATTTAGGGGAAATGCTTTTAAGTTCGGTTTGTTTTATAAAGAACCTAGAGTTTTCCTGTTAACTTAGATTCTCAGTTTTTCATAGAGAATCTTGATGTTACTTGATGGAAAACTGTCTTAACCATTATCCGTAATTAACAAACATTACTTGTTTTTAAAAACAGAAGAAGCCATAAATAATGCTTCAAATGATTCAAATAAATAAACTTTGGTGGAGTTTCCTTACTTTATATTTATTTGTTCCAAAACTATTTGAGGTAGGAATTTGTTATTTTAATTAACAAAGTTCTAACACATGATAAGCTGCTTTTCCAAAGTTGTTTGGCTCAGGTGTGTGTCATGTCTGGGGTAAAAACTGGAATAGTCTGCTACCCAGGAGAAAAGAAAAATCAAATCTAGGATTGCTAATGCATTACCAGAGAAGTCTAGTCTTGTTTGATACTGTAGATGTCTGCGTTTAAACATTAATCCTAGTGGAATAGATTAACTCTTTAAATCAAGATATACAATTTCAGATTACTTGGGATAATTTTATTTCTCAATTTTAAATATTTCAGAAAAGACCTTTTTAAACATTATTTTAAGCATAATTTATACTAATTTGTTATGTTATTTCCTAATTTGGGATCTGAATCCATATTATGGTCAGTTAGTATAATAAAGCATAGCACTTTATCCTTTTATGTCCTGTGGTGTTAGCCTCCGAGCTCACCCAGTAGCTTTCTGTTGTTTATCTTGCATCTGATGAACCCACTCCTGTTCTAGGAGATATGACTTTTCCCCTTCAACCTCGTAAAATTATTTTTTTCAGTTTTAATGTAATTTCTTCTCTAATAAACCTAAGATTAGGAGCTCTTCATTAAGATCTTACTTAATTGGCTTCAGTCCTGGTGGGAAAGGGGATTCTGCATCAGGACCCCCATAATAGGCTCCTACTTACTCCATTCAGATGCCTAAATAGTGAATGGAACATAATGGGTGATTCTTCCTTGAATTTATTTCTTTCTTCATGTGGCCTATTGTAACAGTGTGATTTCTGACCATGAGAAATAAAGATACAAGATAAGCCATGATTTTTAATTATAATATGCCAATGGCCAATGATTTACCATAGTCCCTTATTTGAGAACATGAGGAAGGTAGGGCAGAAGAAACTGAGGACCAAGGACATGGCACAACTTCTCATCAAGCGGTCCAGTCAGGCTTAGAACCTGGGTCTTAGAATTCCTAGATGTTAACACCTAGGATTGACCTGTGTTTCCTTTGCTTCTGATAGTAGCAAGGGCGTGTTATAAGGCCACGGCCTTTGAAGGGACTGTTGTTGTTCATTATCTTAACAAACCCATATGGACCTACTACCCATAAATTATGCACATCAAGCTAGGTTAAAATACCCCAAATTTTTAAGTCTTGGAGGACCAGTTACACGTTGTTCTGAGCACCATGTGGAAACACCTGGAACGTCTGATGGTTAGTACACTTCTCATCAGTAAGT